AGCTATAGCCTTTTAGAGCTTTTAGGTAAGCTTATTATTTAAGTTATTCTTAAGGTCCTATAAGCTAATATTTCTATTTATTATATATTTCAGAAATAGAATATAAAACTCCTAAAAGATCTAGCTCTTTTTTATAAATAGTTCCTTAAATATTTATTAAATATTATACTTCTTATTCGGGTTATTATATAACTTCTCTAAATAGGTATATAGTTCCCTAATAGTTTTATATATATATTAATTATTTTAGTTTAAATAAAAAAAGATTAGTATAAAAGTATAGCTATTTATATAGCCGGATATATAAATAATCTTAAGGTTCTTTATCTAATAAATATTAGAGTTACTATAAAGCTTATCCTTAATCTAAACTAACTAATTATTAAAGGTAATACTATCCTTAATTATACTTTCAAAAATAAAAGAATTAGGAAATTTAATTAAATATTTACTTTCTAGAATAAAGAAACCGGTTATTATAGTAGGCTATATAATAAGCTTTTTAATAATGGCTTTATTTTTTTTATAGGGCTTGCTTGGTTTCTCTTAGCTAATTATAATAATTCTTGCTATAGGTAAGAATATCCCGTATTTTTAGAATTAGCTTAATAATCTCTTTATATAAATTTTCTAGATTTCGAAATAACTCTTAGAACTTTGCCTTTAATAAAACAGGTCTTTCTTTTTTCTCTATTCTTTAATAAATAGTATTTCTTTTACTATAAATATTAATAGAATATTCGGATTTCTTAGGAAACTTAATAAGAGACTCTGATTTATCTTTTAGTAATATACTAGTAATATTTCGTACTATAGCTTCTTCTAACTAGCCTAGTTATTCCGGGACTTGCTTCTTTATATTTTCTTTAGTAGTAAAGTTACTAGCCTATTTACTTGCCTAGCTAGTCTAGAACTTTCTTATCTAGTTATTCTAGGGCTTTCTTTTATTCTAATATTAGTTAACTAATACGAGAATAGCTATAGTATATTATATTTATACTTATTAAAAACTAATTAGATAGATATTATTTAAATCCTTTATAGGATTAAGAAATAAGAGAGCTTTAAATTATACTATAAGTATAAGATCTAGGGCCTGGAAAATATAGTTAGACTATCTCTATTTTAATAATTTAAAGCTAAAAAAAGAAGAGAATCTTAAAGAAGCCTCGGATCTAAATAATTACAAGCTATATATAAGCTTATATACTAGCTTAAGCTCGGAATTATATATAACTATTAGGTAACTATAAATACCAGATGCCTTACTAGTTCTAGTCTAACCCCTACTAGTATTATATATTATAATAACTATAATAAATCTTCTTTTTCTCTAGTAAAATCAAGGAAATTACTTTTAATATTAATAAAATACTTATATTTAAAGCTAATTTCCTTTTTATATAATTAGCTTCTATATTCGAATTAACTAATATTCTAATCTTTTATTTATCTTTCCTTATTTTAATAGTAATTTTAATTATTATTCTTATTTTAGAGGCTTTACTTTCTATAATATAAATAAATATAATTATTATAGGATATATTTATTTCCTGGCTTTTTTAGTTCTAGATACTTATATATTTTATAGCTAGACTTATTATAGTTATAATAAATCGGTTTCTTTTAATTTAGATAAGTAATAATATAGTAATTCTTTTTTTAGTAAATAAAGCAAATTATATTAGATTTTATTATTATATCTTTATTATTCCGGTTTTATAAATCTTATAATAAAAATTTATTTTCTTTTTATTTTATTTTATATTTTTTTTTCTCTTTTCTCTTATTTTTTTTCTTTTATTATTCTATTAGCTTATTATTATATTTCTATTAAATAAATAAATTTAAATTATTTTTATTTTTTATAATTATAGAAATAAGTTTTTTCTTTTTATAAAATATTTCCTTAATAATTAATCTCGTTCCGAATTTCCTATTTTAAACTACTAAATAAGTTATTCTATTCTTATAGTAAATTCGTATATTTTAAGTTATTTAATAAATTATCTAAATAAGATATAAAGCTTTAAATATTTTAGTCTAGCTATTATTTAATATTCTTAAACTTAATAAAAGTATTATTATTATAGTTCTTTAGATCTAAGATAGAATTCTTTATAAATTTAATAAAGGTCTCCTAATTTATAATATTTATATTTATTAATTACTTCCTATATTTCTAGATATCTCTAGCTATATTCTTAAAATAAGAAATATAATAGATAACTTTTAATATATTTATAGCCTAGATAATTCTGTTATTTTTATATTACTTTAACTTTACCTAATAAAAGAAATCCTGGACTTCTTTAATACTTTTTCTCTTATAAATTAGTAGTTCTCGAGTTTTTAGAGTTCTTTAAATTAAGAGTATTACCGGAAATATAACGGGTTCTATATTAGATATCTAAATATCTTTAAAATAATAAATTTAAGCTTTTAGCTTCTCTAGATTCTTTTTCTATTATATCTTTACTTCTAACTTAATAATATAATAGTAAACTATTACTAATTTCTTTATTATTCTTATTATTCTACTAGCTAATTATGGAAATATTTGAGTTTTATTTCCTTTTTCTAATTAAATAATATAAAAAGTACCCAATTAAATATTTCCCTAAATATCTAGCTAGATTATTCTAATAGTAATAAAAGTATTTCTTCTAATTAATACTCTAGCTATTAATAATTTTATTTATTAATAGCTTAATTATTTTATAATAAACTATTTCTCGAAAGTTGGATTAATTAGAATATAAAATATATAATAATAGAATAATATATAAATAGCTAAGATAAATAAGCTATAAAATAATATTTATAAATATAATTAATTCTAAGAATTAATTTTAATAAAAGACTAATTAATACCCCTTTCTAAAGCTAGAAATATCTCTTTATATATTCCCTAGTATTTAGCCAAATATATAAAACCCTTTATTTAACTAGGAAATATAATTTTATATAATTTATATAATTCCGATTATAAGCTTTATTTAAAATAAGAAACTAGATCTATAATATCTAATACCTATTTATATATTATTATATATATTTATTATAATAAGGTAATATTAGAGTTTACTAAAAAATATACTAGAAAATACCTATAAGTTATTTCTATTTTCTAGAAAATAATAAAAAATTAGAGGTACTTTATTATTAAATAATAAATTATTATAAAATCTATTTTAGTTATAATAATAGAAATATTCTTAAAAGCTATAAGAATCTTTTATAATATTATATTTAAAAAAAGAATAAAAACGAGACTAAAAAGCTTTATTAGAAAATTCTTGCCTTTTATAGATTTTAATTAAATAATAATTATAAAAATATAAGAAATATAATATAATATCTAATAAATTACTTGAAAAAAATAATAAAAATAGTTTATTTATATTTTCTTAAACTTTAATAAAAGATTTTAGGTAATTAATATAAAAATACCTTAGAAACTATTATTTATTTTAAATAATACTTTAAAAAATAAGAAAAATATAATACTATTAAATATTTAAATTATTTCGAATATTATATTTTATTAGTTATAAGAAAATATTATAGGCTATTTTAAGACTAGTAAATATATTATTTGAAAATAGAAAAGATTTAGAAACTAAGAAGTTCTTATTATAGCTATTAAATATTAATTAAGGTATTATTACTTATAATAATTATTAGTAAAGTTATTTTACTTTTAATATTAGTATTTTATTATATAAGTAAAAAAGGTAGCCTAAAGCCAAAGATATATTTCGAAATATACTTATTATTTTATAAAAGAATAAATATATGCGAGAAAATAAGAGTAATATAAATAATAGTAATAAAAAAAATTCGAGATAGGAAAAGAGTAAAAATAATAAAGAAAATAAGAATCTCGATTACTTTATCTCTAATATTCTCTAAGAACTAATATATATTCTTGCCTAGTAAAGGAAAGAGAAAAAAGCTATTATAATTAAAGAAGCTATTATAATTAAAGAAGTTATTATAATTAAAGAAGAACTTGTAATTAAGAAGGCTATAGGGTAATAGCTATAGCCTTAAAAAGATATAAATCAAATATATTAAATACTTAGCTCGTATAAATCCAGGTTTTCTTTATTAAAAGTTTAGAACTCAGTTTCGAGATGCGAAAGGTCTATAAGTCAGGAACTAAGATCTAGAATCCGAAATATAAACTTCGTTCTCGCCCTTATATATACTTCTTATTTTCCTGAAACTTAGTATTAAAACTCGGTCGGCCAACCCAGTTTTCACGTGTGAGTTCTCTAAATATTCGATAGAAATAACTCAATTCTCCTCAGTCTGTGGTCGTGTGTAATAAATTACGTACCTATCAAATTTTATAAAGCATTTTAAAAAAAAAAGTCTAACTTGTCCGTTTGTGATTAGCCAGGATACGGGTGTGAATTATTTTATACCTATTGATTGGTTTCTTGGATCTCGAAAGCTGAAACTTTATTATAGCCGCTTTTCGATATGAATCCACTAGTTAAAATTGAGTACAGGCATCTGCGAAGTTGCTGCCTAGACTCTCCTATATTCACGATATCGGATCTGCGAATACGAGTCCTCCCGGAGATTGTTCTGCCACCTCGACTTGCATATTCTCTAAATAGCCACTCTCCGTCGTATCTTCGTATCCCCGTATTACTATCAATAAAAGTGACAACAAGTCTCAGCGTATTACCTTACCCTTGAATAGCATTATTTTTGCTACTTCGTACTCAGATAACTAGTCAAAAACTCCTTAAAGCAATATAATATAAATCAATTAAAATTCAATTAGTTGAAAAAGAATTCTCGTTTTTCTAACTTGCGATTGTTTTCGCAATAATTAAGGAGAGGAATTCGGGTGATACGTATCACGTGTTAATTTCCTTCCAACAGTAGTAAGGCGGGAGTGTCTCCCGTCCCGACGCACTTGTCCTCTTTGGTCACCGAGCTTGTGAAGCTGACCAACACAAAAACTGCCCAGTCACTAGCAGCTCAATTTAATTCTTCCCTGGTGGTCAAAATCACCGACGTACTCAAACCGACACATCCAAAGCGCTTGCTATGGAAACAACCACGAAAAGGAAGCGTCGGAGGCGGCTATCAAACAAAAGCAACGGGCCTCGCGAAAATCCGGCCGGCGAGGAGGCGAAGCGGCAGAAGTTGCTGTCCAAATCCGCTCAGCCTCAACCAAACCCAATAAACCTTCCTAAGCTGTGTCCACCGCCATCAGGCCAAGAGCTAGATCGACTAAACTATCACATTGACCTTCAAGATTTTGCGAGAGGTCTTCAGCATGCTGCCAATGCCGTCTTCGCAGGCGATCGGCGGTGTAGGTACACTCATGTCTCTGCACTTCTCCTCTCTTGGGAGGACGAGGACCCTCAGCTTCCTGTCTCTTTAGAGATCAATGCTCTCAAGGATGTGTTTATTAGCCTGTATGATTTCGATGTCGAAGAATACCAGATACCAGCCATCAATAGCCATATAGAGGTTAATCTGAGAATTCTCACGTTTTTAAAGGACAGTAATGCCAGACATCTCAAAATCGTGTATTATGCAGGCCATGGTAAGTTAAGCAAGCATGGTCAAGCATTGTGGACCAGGTAAGTTTGTCTCTTAACTCTTATTATCTTTAATTGTTGACTTCTCCCCAAGCCGCCGAAATATTCTCCAGGACAGATGTCCAACTGTAAAGTGGTCCGGAATTCAGACCGCTTGTGAGGAGTCACCGTCTGATGTCTTGATCCTTCTGGACTGCTGTGCTTCAGGCATGAGCAATACTGACGAGGGTATGCATCCCCACTTGGTGCTTTCGTTGATGAATAATTCATGTTTTGAAATTGTCTAATCATAAATGAAGGAAACGGAGTGACTGAATTGACTGCCGCTTGTGCATTCAACAACACTGCGAATGGCGTTGGCCCATTTTCTTTCACCCATACACTGATTTCGCAACTGCGGAAGTCATTTCGGATGCCTTCGTTCAACGTCGCATACTTGTATAATCTTATTTTTACTGCAGTCCAAGGATGGCAGGTCGAAGACCCAAAATACAAGAAAGTACCAGTCCACCTTGTACTCACACAAGACTATCGACTGCCCCGGAGCATTACCATTTCCTCGAAGAGATCTCAATCAAGCCCTCAACTACAACCTCCGATCTCATCATCAGGGCTTTCATTACTGAACGCAGCACCTACACCAGAAAGTCTAAACTCGTATGGAACTCCCGTCACACAATCAAGCTCGCCCGCGGATAAGCCATTCGAAACTGGAGGCGATATAAGCCCATCGAGTAGTAACGAGACATCACCTAGGACTTCTCCTTCTCAGCTCCCAGAATACCCAAGACTGCTCTTCAGCATTCGAATCAGTGGAGATATCAAGCCTAGGCAGTTATCTACTGATTTGTTTGCAGATTGGTTAGGATCTGTGCCGATCGCCGCGGATCGTATTACGATAGAGGCTGGCTTTGCTAGCGATTCTACTCTTCTTATAATCTCCATGCCGATTGAATTGTTTGCATATCTGCCCAGAGAACCTGCGATTACTTTGCTTGGGGTTTCTAGATCCGCCAATCTATTCACGATGGAGAGTGAGAATTTTCAGACCATGGCCGCAGCAGATGCAGGTGCGGTGCAGGAAATGGCTCTTACTGGCTTCGGTAAAAGTTGTGATCGTTGTGGGACACTTCGCGTTCAATGCAATGCCACTGAAAAATCTGTTTGCGCCCGCTGTTCTAAGGCAGGTGCAGAGTGTCGCTTTACTGGGGATTGGAACCTCCCGGAGGTCGCAGTTTTGACGATACGGGAGCTAGAAAATATGTACCACCAGGCCGAACGGGAGAACTCATGTCTCCAATCGAGGCTTGAGGAGCTGGATAAACTGCACCAATACCGCGATCTTACTCCCCTAAAAGAGCCAGGCGGAAGTCCGCAACAGATTAATGAGAAGTTGTACCCACAGGCAGACATGACAGGACTCACCTCCACCTCTGTGTGGCGACCCCACCACGTGGGATCTGCTAAGTATGAGCATTTTTCGATACCTCCTTGGCCGGAGAGTGAGATAGTGGAGGAATCAAAGCTTTTTGAATCTACAGATTCCTGTGATGGTTGTCGTGAAGAAGAGGTACGTTATTGCTACCATTATCTGTGGGGTAGAGGGGAGAAGCCGTCTCTACCATTTTGGTAACACGCTGATTGAAACATAGGCACCATGTATTGCGTATGGATATACCATATGCTATAGATGCGTCAAGCACAATCTTGTATGCTATCCTCAACTCACAGAGCATTTTGGTGGTGATTGGAATTTGGTCAAGGTATTCAAAGAGAGTCATCTAAATCTCAAGGAGGAAGAACCAATCAGTCGTCCGAATGACCCCAAGACTTCTAACATTCCAGTCAAGAACAAAGGTGAAAACGACCGGCAGAATCCGTCGCTCCTCAATGATACTCTACTGTCGACGCGTACATCTGTCGGAACCGTCGCACCTCCTAGCACAGTTACACATACCTCGGTGCCAACCTTACAAACGCCAGCTCCTGTCGACGCCCGTCAACACAGTTACGGCCACCGTCATTATGGTCGTTTTTCAACGGCCCGACGGCATTACTGAGGTGATTGTCGCTTCTCTCCTCACAACATCGGTTTCGGGAAATTTGACGGCGCATGGACAGGTGTCAGATATCGTGGATCTAGTTTCCTATTTTGGGTAAAGCTTGCGATCGGAATCGCACGAATCGCATGGGATCGCATTTCCTATTAAGTAAAGGGCATGAGTAGCTACTAATACACCCAACCGGCCGCCAATTCTCTATCCACTTCTATTATTATCATCCGTGGCTTCACCATTTATAGCAGTGGATCCTATAAGCACTACCGCTACCACATGAACTACTCTGTCTAACTCCTAGTTGAGGGTATAATCAATGTTCATTGTCTTAGGGGCAGCATAAATTCGCCGCGTACTGAACTCGAGCACCTTGGCTTCTTGATTCGTCCTAACTGCACTCTCAGAAGGCTATGGCAAGTTACAATAGGGCAGTCCATATCTTGGTTAAGGGAGAGTTGAGCGCCAGTTCGTGTAAAGGTTTTCCGTCTAAGTAAAACACAAACTTCTCCATTTCAAAGAACTCTAAGAATTCTTCTTAACCCCGATTTTATTTATCAATGGGAACCTGGGCGGTGCGGCGTCAAATGTTGAGACGTCACGGATATTTGTATACACACTGGGCTAGCCTTAGTTCATGGAATCTCAATAGAGCTTTTGAAACTTATTTGGCATATGATTTCAAAAGTGTGAAATTAAACGGATAGTATTATCAATTCCTACTCCAAGCAATTACACCCAACAATGTATTGCGCCTTCTTCGTTCGCCAAGCCGTCATATAGCACTCCGTAGGGCTACCAGTCCCAAGATACTAAGTCTTTCTGGGAGCAATATTATTGCGGGAGCCATAGAAAGATTTAACGCTTCTCGGTTCCTACAGTGTTGTACCTTGTTTCTCCGAAACAGAAAGTAGATAACCATAGCAGGTATTACACACAGGTTCGTTCCATTTGCCCTTGGCGAAAGCTACAAGCTTCGACGTCTCGACTGCATAAGGTTTTTGGAATTGCAAATCTATGGAGTCGGATCTTGGTTTTTTTTTTTTAGAGTTGAGGAATCCCTCTTGGTGTTTGGTTCTAGGAGAGTTCGAGACTGGAGAATATGCAATCTATGATCGCGGTTTTGAGCTCAGGTTAGTTCACCGAGACCATATTTAATTAACGGTGCAGAACGAGTTGTATAATGCCAGGAGTTGGGATATTGTTTCTTAGATTGCATGAAAGATATATAATGAAAATCGACGTTTTATTCTTAGATCTTAAGGAACAATCAATGATTTGATGCTCAACTAAATTGAAACTACAAAGAGAGTCCAATTTTCCTCAGGCTATGTCGTATGTGGCAATATTTACTTAAATAAATACTTATCACCTACGAATTTAGTAGTAATACGTGAAGTCACAGCCAAAGCTAATCTTCTATCCACGACTTAAATCTTAGAACATGTATCGAGGATCTTAACTTGCCTTAAGGCCGAAACCGCTAGAGCTTACAATCCCAGATCCGAGAACTGTTTTTATTTATTTATAAAATACCATTTTAAGGACCAGGATTTCGTCTCTCAGATATAATATATATCGCATCCGTGATGCTAGAGCGACTTGGGAGCATGGAGATAGCCCAATTCTCCTCAGTCTATGGTCGTATGTAACAGGACATGAACTATTTAGTCCTATATCCCTATAGGGCAAAATTGAGGTCTTAGAATACAGATCTATATAATTATAATTAGTTCTTCAAGTCTCGGACTGCAGAATCTGAATACCCTCTTACCTGCAAACGTTAGTTCCCTGTAGTAGGTTCCCGGAACGCTATCTATACGCCTATATTATCTCAATATTATAAATGCCATAATCTAATAGATTATTATATTTAGTAATATATATATATAACAAGGAAGGATATTTTGTGGTTTCCTAGAAATGATTTCTACTATTAGATATAGTATTATAATAGCAAAGTAATTAGCTTGTAATAGAGCTAGTAAATTAATCATATATATACAAGTAGCCTTTTAGCCTTCTCAGGCTTATATTCTCTATTGCATTTATAATCTGGGCATATGATTATATTTAATATCTCTTGCTATTACAGACTACTATAAAACAAGTAATCTTGAATTCGGTATAGAGTATATAACCGGAGCGAGAGTTATAAGTGCTATAAGTACTATAGAGTACTAAACCGCACTTTTTGCTAGATAGCAAGGTCTCTTCCTAAAACAGGTATAAAAATATTATATAGTAAAAATATACCAGAACTTCTTTTTTCGAACCTGATTTATACTATTCGAGTTAGTTACTAGTCCATAATAATATATATATGGTATAAATAAATATTAACGGCTCCTCGGAGCTTTAAGATATACTTATAACCTTATAATAGCTGGTCTGGCTAGAAAATGAGTCCGGAGACATATACGAAAAGCTGTAATCCAATTATACGGGCTAATCTAGCCAGGCGACCTCGCAGGCCTGTAGTTTTCTTCCAGGCACGGAGCCTTACGAGTTACCTCGTTAGGTTATCTCTATTCCTTAAATAATGTTCGAATCTGGTACTGCCCCCTTTCTCGTATGCAATATTATTATAATAGTAATCATTATTGTAATGTCCGTCCCTGTATCGAGAGACGCACCCTATTGCGAGATGAATCTATAATTTAGGCATATCAAGTCTCTCCTTTATAAATCTATAAAGTTTTTATTAGTATGTCGCTATTCTTTAGCTATTTCTGCCCTAAGAAACCAATATATAACGAGAAAATTATAGTACTTAATTATATTATTAATCGTTTTATTAATACCGTCAATTGCCGCTCTAGCTATTCCCCCCTGCTTAATCGTAACCGTTAGAGTTTTTTCTTCTTCTTTTTTTTCGAATATCAGAGCACTTAGGGAAAGGTCTTATAAAGCAAGAATATGATTTTAAATTTTAAAGACATTTAGAGAGGAAAATAAAGAAGTCTGGGAGTTATGTTATATGAAAAGAGGGACACAAAACGCCACATATTTTACCTTTAGGATTTAGTATTAGTTAGTATATAATAGCCTAATTAAATCCTCTTTTATATTGTCCTATATTCGGACTACCCTAAGCGGTTGGCTCTCAGTACACCTTGAAAAAAGCTGGTCACGTGAGGAATACCAGAATCTCTCCTTTCTAGGGAATTGCATATCGGAACGCAATTATATCCAAATCCTTAGGGCTAAGCTTAGAATTATAGAGGAGAAGCTCAAGTACCTTCCTCTATATTTTAGTAGTTCTGGAATATAAGGGGCTTTTATTACGATTTTTTAATACTCGGGAGAAATAGGATAAAAGGAATTCTTAAGCCTCTAGCTAGCTCTCGGGCTTCCTAAAAAAATACAGGTTATATAAGAAATACTAAAAAAAAAAAATCCTGGCTCTTACTTTATTCTTCTCTTTTTTTCTTTATTATTTCCACTTTTATTACTCTCCCTTTTACTTATATATAGATCCTTCCCACTTTTATACTACTTATAAACAAAGCTAGCCTGCTTCTGACTTTATTATAAAATAAGGCAAGTAATATAAGACCTGTAATTACTATCGAGTTTGTATTTCCTCTCTTTTCTGACTTAACTAACTTATTAATAGGCCCGGAATACTATTAATCATATCTAGTAATACCCTGTCTTATAAGAACTTGATTCAAATATTCTTTTTCTCTTCTAGTAATAATAATAATAGTTAATTACGGATATCTCTATAAATAAGCCAGCTCTATAATACTAGTAACGGATCTATTAACCGTTCGTTATAGTCCTAGTTCATATTATAGAGAACTCTCTTACTAACTTATCTATTATATGGCCTTCTAGCTTTCTTTTATATTTCCGGCTAACTCTTATATATATAACTAATTTGTTTACAGGTTACTATATAGCTTATAAAGCCTTCTATTTTAGTTATATAAATAATTGTTTTAGGGCCTATTATAAAAAGGGTAATATAATATTTCCTTTAATCTATAAATCTTTTTATATTTCTTGTTACGTGGCACCAGTCACGTGGTGCCACTGCACGTGACTTAGCGTGTAGCCAGTGCTTTTAGCCGGGCATATAGCCTTTAGCTCAATTCAAGCTCTTTACTACTACTATAATATTACCTTATTATAATATTTCTTTTACTTTTTTACAAATAATAATCCGCTTTATTAGGCTTTCCGGATAAATATCCGGATATATAATTATACTTTTGCCTTTATATTAGTTAAATATAAAAATATAAAAAAATTAACTTCTTTTATAGGATCTAATACTTTCAGATCTATAATAAGCTTTTCTATTTCCAAGGCCTATTATAGTCTGCTTTATATACTAAACCCTTTTTTATATAGCTTTTCTTTTATAATCCGCTTTTTATAATTAATATATAAGCTATTAATTTCTCTTATTTAGATTATATAGTTCTTTTATAGCTTATAAATATACTTATAGATTATAATCCGTTTATTATAGTCTATAAAATAGCCTATAAGTATCTTATAAGTTAGTAAACCGATTTCCGGATCTTATTTAATTTATAAATATATTTAATTCTCGAATCGGGTACTAATTATTATTATAAGAACCTTCTAATAAATAATAAGATTATAGTTCTTATTCCGAATAAATATATAAATATAAGTTATTATAATCTAGTATTTATAGTTTATAAGGCAGGCTATAAGTATTTATAAATATATATTATTTTATTGTATTTTATTTTTCCTATATAATAATTCGGGCTAGTACTATAATTTATAGTTATAGAACTATAATAGAATCTATTAGTAAATATAGCTCGAGTAATAAGTCTTTTATTAGTATTATTTTTATATTTATTTAGTTTTCTCTTTGTTTTTTTATATTAGCTATTTCTTTTAATAATATATTATTAATATATATATTACCTATAAAATTATCTCGCTTAACTAGCTTTATTTATATTAGTAGAATATTTATATAAATATTTATACGAGACTTATAAATGTTCTAATTTATAAAAACATTTATATAAATAATATTAGCTATTTTTTCTTTTATTAAGTTTTATAAATAGTAATTATTTTATATAATAGCTTTTTTAAAACTTAATAGCTATTATATAATACTTTAATAAGCCAAGCTTTTTTATTATCTTTATAGCTAACCCGTATTAGCTTAAAATTATAGATTACTTTTTAAATAAATAATAAATAATTAATTATTCGGATTTTTTTTATTAGATCTTTATTTTAAAAATATAGAAGTTTTTTATAGATTTTAAGAACTACTTTTTCGGATAATATATAAATTATATTTATATAATTAAGTACTAGAAATATAGCTTTTTATATATATATTTGCTTTTATTTTTTAGGAGAAATACCGTTTTTTAAACTTCTAATTTAGTTAATAAGATTATTTATATTAAGCTTTTAGATCTATTATAGAATTCTATTAGCAAATTTATAGTTATAGTAATTAGCTAGATATTTTACGGGCTATATAGCCTTAATAATAATCCGAAAGCCCTATATATAATTCATAAAATACCTATAATTCTATTTATATACTAGAAAAGATTTCCTAAAAGATTTATAGCTATAATAATTATTTATAAAAATAAGTATTTCAAATACTAATACTAGAATAATAGTCGTATATTTATAGTTTATAAATTAAGCTTTTTAGATTAGAAAATTGTCTGTAATAATTACTAGATTATTTTATATAACCTATATCTTTTCCAGAAATTTTTCTTATATATTAATATTAAGGTTTATATATTTATATAAATAATTAAATATATTTATAAGTATATTTATAAGGAAATAAACTATATAATTATTATTATTTCGGGAATAAATAATAAAATTACCTAATATTTCCAGGTTTAATATATAGGCCCTATAAAGGCTTTTTAGTATCTATTTAAGTATCTAATATATTAGAAGTTTCTCTGGGTTTAATATCTTATAATTTACTTTTCTAAATAGTATATAGTTTATTTTATAACTGATTTTTTATTTAAATAAGTTATAAACCGGGCTATAAATACTTATTTAACCTTAATAGTTTTCTTTAAATATAATATAATATATAAAAACGGTTACTAATACCTATATTACGAGTTTCTATAGTATTTTATATAGGTTACTAAGACCCGGATATAGAAATACTATAAATAAGAATATAGTATTAGCTATATTTATTATTATAGTCTAGCTTCAAGCAAGCGGTTTTATTTATAGCTTTTATTAATAATTATATATAATTTATAATTCTTTAATAAGTTTTATTTAATTAAGGGCATCTATTATTCTATATATTATATTACCTGTATTATCTATAATTTAATAAAGAATAATTAAAAGTAATTCTAGTATTTTAATAAGGCTATTTTATTAATAACTAGTTATAATTTATAAATACTTTTTTTACGAGTATTTACTAGTAGCTAACCTCGGATATATAAGTAATCTAGGACTAATATAAGAAGTATTTCTATAATAATCTGGCCCGTAAGCTAGTCTATAACCTATTAATTAATTTCCTAATATTCTTAGTTAATTTTTACTATAATTATAACTTCTTTTTATTTAGTCTTGGCTTTATAGATCTCTAGTAAATATTTATAGATATTATTCTATTTAAAAATACTTTTAACTAGACTATAAGTTATTATATAGCTAATTTATAAGTTAATTATATTTATAAGATATTATTAGTAATTATAATATAAGCCTAGCTAAATATAAACTAATATTCTTGCTTTTAGATAATTATAATAGTAATTATAAATAATTTATAAACTATTTACTTTTACTTATAAGGCCCGAATAGAACTAATAAGATATTTCTTTATAAAATCCTCTATTACTATTATTATAGTTAAGGTAAAATAGTTTTATATATAATATTAATAGGTATTATAGCTTTTCTTTTTCCGAATAAATATATATCTTATTTCTAATTCCGGATTCCGCTTGAGTTTAATAAGTTATTTATAAATATAATTACTAAAATAAGTTAATTCAGGGCTTTCTTATAATCTATAAATCTAATTATCTGAGATAAGATATTTATATAATACAAGTACTACTTTAAGGTAATATACTAGCTAATAATCGATTTATAATTAATAGCAAATAATATTCTCTTTAGAGAAGTATTTATAATTCTCGAAGGGAATTTTGCCCAGATCTTATTAATAGTTTTATATAATTTGCAAACTAATATAATACGGGCCTGCTTATAATAAATATAGATCTGGCTATAGCTCTATTAGTTATTATTACAGATTAATATACGAGTTTATAATAACCTATCTAAGCAGGATTTTATAGACTAGATTAATAGTCTTTTATATAACCTGTCTCTAAATAGACAAATTATACTCTTGTCTTTTATTTCATATACCGGATTAGTTATAGACCTAATTAATTATATTTACTTATAAGAATACCTTTTACAGGCCCTATATAATTACCGGGCCTTTTATAAATAGGCAATTCTATTAACTCTAAATAATACGGTCTATAAACTTAACTAAATAATCCTGGATATACTTTCTAGCTAAAAACGGACATATTTTATAATAGATTTGGCTAATATAAATAAAACAGATCCTGAGATTATAGAATTACCTTTAGAGGTCTTATAGAGTATCTATTTACTAGGTCTACCTTTCTCTAAGCTATAACTTAAGATCGGTATACTCGTAATACTCTTGCGGAATTTCTATTTATAGAAAGGGCTTTATAACGGGTTACAGATATCGATTTATAGCTTTAGAAAGTTCTTAATTCGTATATAGCTACTAGATAGCGACTTTAATAGCTAATTACGGATAATTCTACGGATTAAGCTCTAATTAACGGATTAGTAACTATCTTTTATACTTTCCTATAAGCAGTTTCTACTTACTTTGTCCTTTATAATAACTATTAATAAGTTACAGGGCCAGTTATTTAAGGTAATAGGAATAGATTTACGGTTACCGGTCTTTTCTTATAGCTAGTTCTATATAGCAGCCTTACAAGTGACCTTATAGGCAGGGCTTTGTATTCTTTTATCCCCTAATATAGACCGTATAAGTAATATAGTATATCCAGAAATATTATAAGGTCTTGCTTAGCTTTTGACTTACTTACGAGTGACTTTATATACTTACGGGCTATTTTTCTTCTTATATTATCCGTAAAGAGTCCGTAAAGGGTCCGTATCTAATTTATACTTAGCTAAAAGCCTTTGCTATATAATATACCCCCTTTAATTCTAATCCTACTCGGGACGAGTTTAGGGCAAAATTATTAATTGGCCCCGGAGCTTGTATAGGGCCGCCAATTAATAATTTTAGCGAAGCGGCCCTAAACTCGTTTATATTATACTGTATTAAAGCCTGGACTCGCAAGCGTGTGGCGTATTTAATAGCATGTTTCTCGAACCTTCCATAGGCACGTGCCTGGAAGTACGCTGTTGCCTGCTGCTGCCTGTCACTCGTCTCGTTCACAACGCCACCACCACGGCATGCTAATATGGATATTGGCCTTCAGATATCCGACCGAACATGTGTTGATGAAAGATAACGAGGCTATAAATCTATCAACGAAAGGATGGCAAATGAATTATTCCATGAGTAAGCCTTCATATCAAATGGCTATCACAAGTCTGAGATTAACTTTCTAGTAAAGGCCCGGAATCTTGCCAATTCAGATGAAGTCATTAGAACTTAAGAAGCGTTGTGAGATTTGTTTCACATTCGGAATGCCGACAAACGAGTTGGGTCTTCTCTGCTTGTAGCATACGCTCACTGACATAAGATGCAGGGACTACTCAAGCAAGGTCAAAATTTCGGACCTAGTACACAGTTCCTCGTCTGGATGTCCTACTTGCAGATTGATTTATAACGCCTGGTTATCTTCACGGAAACTTGCCTCTCTACTAGGCGATGAAAAGGATATCCATGAGCAGGAAATATGCTTCTTTGGATGGGGATTTACGGCAGAGGCGAAATGGGAAGGGAATTGTACTTTTACCAGGTTCTTTATCACCCCCGAATGTCGTCATCCGGCCTTAACTTATCTTCCCACGAGCCGTGGCTACAGAACGATAGCAGATATGTCCCAAGTGCAGATCTTGAAAGGTTGGCTGAATGACTGTCTCAGTCACCCTGGATGTGCGGAGAAATGGAAACCAACATTGTTACCAACTCGTGTTATTGATGTGGGATCCGAGAATAAGGAGCCGAGACTCTATCTCTCGCGGACTGAAGAGACTGGACGATACGTTGCACTCAGCTATTGCTGGGGTGGCAAGTATTTTATTCGCACCACGAAGTCGACGATTTCTATGAGAATGCAAAATATTCCGCTGTCAGATTTCCCCAGAACTTTGAAAGAGGCAATCATTGTGGTCAGGCTTCTGGGATATCAATACCTTTGGATTGACTCTCTTTGTATCATCCAGGATGATGCTTCTGATTGGGAAGTTGAATCGGGAAGGATGGCCGATATATATAGAGATGCCGTTTTGACGTTCGCTGCGTCCGAAGTTGTAGATTGTGATGGGGCTCTACTATTTCCAGACCCAAAAGGAGATTCAAAGAGGGGCGGGTGGGTAATAGATTACCAGCCAGTCACTGTCGCGGCATTGATAGTCGATGAAGAGGGGAGAGAAACGAAGATGCATACCCAAACAGAGATGCACGGATGTCCGCCGATGATCCGAACTCCTCCATCCGGGTTCCAGCACCGCAATCCTTGTGCATCGGATCAGTTGCATTGGATAACTGGGACCTGGCCACTCCAGAGGCGAGGATGGACACATCAGGAACAACTCCTGTCGACTCGCATAGCACATTTCACAAAGGCCGAGATTGTTTGGGAATGTGGTTCAGCTATCCGCTGTGAGTGTTTAAGACTCGATGACGAGGCAGGAGCTACTTCCGATCGCTGGGATCTTACCAAATCGCTCCAGAATGAAATCCTAGTCGAAAGATTTGATGGTTGGCGTAGGATGCTCGGGAGCTATTTACTGCGGCGACTGACTTATCCTACTGACCGTTTGCCAGCGCTATCTGGATTAGCTAAGAGAATGCAGTCGACTGGTGGAGGACAGTACTTGGCAGGACTCTGGCGAGATGATATATTTCATGAACTCCTCTGGCACGGAACCCCCCCTATGGCCTTTCGAACTGACTCAAAATACCGAGGTCCATCCTGGTCTTGGGCATCGTCTGACGAGATCATTAGTCATGACAACTTACGGCCCTATATTACAGGTTCTGATGGAGTTTTGGTGACGGTGGCTTCTGAATTTGTGGATGCCAGGTGTGAGCCGGAAGGCAAAGATTTAACAGGGAGGGTGAGAAGTGGATACATTATTCTGCACGGTCCAGTTTTCACCATTCAGACTGGTCAATTGAAACAGGTAGCTTCTACAACCTGGGAGTTTTATCTTCAAGAAACTGCGTCTTCCTTGGGATACGTCAGTCCAGCCTCTTCAGTCAGTCTCGGAGTGGCACTTCCATACGAAGGATTGCCTGGGGATACAATATTTCACCTGCTGCTAATTGGAGAGACCCTACAGCATGGGAGGGGACTTGTTTTGCAATTTAAGGGAAAAGATATCTTTGAAAGAATTGGGACTTTTACAACTTGGGGTTTGAGGGTCTTAGAAGTAATACGGGGTGCTCAGAAAAGGACAGTGAAGATTATTTAATATATACTTTCATTTTTATTTTAGCTAAGCTTAGAAGATATATATACCCTTTCTCATTAGCGCAAAAAGTACGTAGTATATTTATATAAGTTATAAGACAAAACAGTTGTTGCCGTTACTGGCAGAAGGAGCGGATTCCCCTTGGATACCAGGACTTCAAATCGTACAGGCTTATTTTAAAGTACCTGTGGTTTGTCTCGCGACAGGGTGCGTCTCTCGATACAGGGACGGACGTTAGCGCAAGGCGTACCTCCTGGCGTGCTTAGATCATACCGTGCTCTTGCAGATCATGGCAACGTCCCTCATTCTACACTCCATCATCGTGCTCGCGGACGACCCTCGATGAAAGACAAGGCGCGAGATCAGCAGTATCTCAAACCATATGAAGAAGACGTTGTCGTTATGTATTTGCTACAGATGTCCGACCTTAGACAACCGATACGAATGGAGTTTATTCCTTGCGCGCCAGCCAAGCATTTGAACAAGATCAGATGGTTGGCCAACGTGTTTTACGCCCACGCGTCCTTCATCTTCTACTGTCTTCACTGTGATAAACCTCCCTCATCTGCTCCATTAAATATATCTCCATCGCACTAGCAACTGGAAGTTTCGATATTACCGATACCGATTGTCGCTAAGCCTATTCTTCTTCTCTTCATCCGTCTCTACTGTCACCTCAATAATATCAGTTCCTTGTCGTAGAAGAATTAACTTCAATATTGCATATGCATTCTTTTCGTTGAGCAGGAGCGTGTGAGGGTACCCTTCAGAGTCATATCCACGACGAGGTAGCCAGCGAACCTCGAGCTTGTTTATCAATTTCCCCTGCTGGGGACTGGATCGATTCGTGATACTGGGAGAGAAGAGGACTTCGATGGAGGAAACGAGGGATTAATAGGTTTTCGAATTAGTAGAAGGAGAATCGAGATCTAGTTCTTACTTGAAAATGGGGCTCGATTGAACGTCGAAAGCGATGAAGGAATAGCATTGCATCGAATCGTTTTCAATTCTAACCACAAGTCGATAAGGTAGCACATGGGGCAGAAAGAAGGAGGAATTCAACCAAACGTAACTTGGCGCTATGAAAAACTTCCCGGCTACGGCTGCACCTTAGAGCCTACGAGGAGAATAGAGTTATCGTTAGAAGATAGTAGAACAGAGTGGGCTTGAATATATTATAGGGGATATAAGGAGATAATAGAGTTACTATTACAGGAGGGTCTCGAAATAGACGCCAAAAACGTGGAAGGAAGAACCGCATTACTTGTAGCAGTAATTAAAGGTCATAAGGTATTGGTTCGGTTACTATTGGATAAAGGGGCTAATATTAATACCACTAATAAATATGGCCAAATAGCATTATACTGGGTAGTATCTAATATAAACAAACTAATACTGGGGATTTTCCTTGAAAACGGGGCCGATATTATAGTACTATATAATGGGGGGTCAGCTCTATACTTTGCAGTATTAAATAGGCAAGAAAAGATGGTACGAATGCTTTTGGCAAAAGGTACGGAGGTCGATACTATTAATGAATATAAAATGACTGCATTATTCTTGGCAGCTATTAACAGATATCTTAAGCTAGCTAAGCTACTAGATAAACGCGGACGATCAAGGCCATTAATATAGAGCGAATGAGTTCACTCTCAGGAGGCTATAATGAATTCGGATGGGTGAATAGTATGATTGCTGGATTTGAAGATCTAAGAAGAATTCATATTAGTACAGTAACTTTCGGAATCTCAACCTCCAATTTGGTTTCCAGCCTTATACCAAGGGGTACATCGGGTCGAATGCAAATCTTAGCTTCATACATATTCTCCGATCCAGTGGAGTGGCCTTCCGGTAAGAATGTCCGACACATCACCAGCAACACAGGACATTCTGGCCTCGTGATGTTAGTTGCACCTAATAACCCTCGCATCCGCCCACTGAGCGACGACTACACCGTTACGCAGTACGATTAATACGGCTTGAAGCAAGAAGATAACTTCCAGAAATCGTCTCTATATCTGTTATTCACGAAATGGAAGTTCCCAATCTCTATTGGCGACGTTATAGGTACAAGTTCCATAGACCACGAGATCTAGTTTATAGAATCTGTAATTGAACTTTGGGATGGCAAAGACTAGGTTACTGATCTGGATATTCTCGGTCTGGAATATCTTGGAAATTACCGTTTGATTTTGCGGGTTAATAAGAACTATACCTATAATAATCTATTAAGAGAGTAGTAGTAGTCTTTTACGTCTTTAGACATTTGGGGTAAGTTATTAGAGTTCCCGAACGAGATTAGCATATTCAGGGTATATAGAAACTGGATTACTTGCCTGGCAGTAATATCTCTTCTAATATAAAGAAACTGGGATGAAAATATACTTGTATTTAGAGACTCTATATAAAAATACTATTGGGAATATATATGAAAGGAGATTGAAAATAGACGGCCAGTAAGATTTATTATTAACTAATGAGTTTAAAGAAATCTTATATATTTGCAACCAAGTAAATTAAATAGATAATATATAGATTGAATTTTATATTTTAATATATATTATTTTCGGGTAAGTTATTATAAGATAAGTTCTATTACCTTTACTAAAGTAACTAACTCTTTTAGATATTATAGTATAGCAGGCTATACTTTCTAAAAATCATGTTATTTTGGCGGTTTTAAGGTTTTAGTTATATGGCAAAGGCTATAGCCTTTTATATATAACTTGCAGAAATCATATAAGAAAGCTGGTTTTTCTATAGTTCTAGAGAATAATCCCTTATAAGTATTTAATTAATTAAGCTTTTATATACTATATACTATTTATACTCCCTTATTTATGCTTTTAATTTATTATTTTACTATTAAGTTACGTTTTATACTCTGGTATACTTTATATAGGTTTTTGTCTTATTATAGTTTCCCTCCTATATATTTTATAGTAAGTAATATAAGAAAGATCGAAACTTCGCAGTTAAGATAATACTCTTATAAAATTCTGAGAGATATTTATAAGGCGGATTATTAGCTTAGTAAGTTAGGAGAGAAAAGAGCTATTATAATACTTTAAGCCTAAGGCCAAAATATTAAAGATATATAAATATTAATCTTAGTATCTTATAATAATTTCTAATATACCTAGTAACTTGGATACGGGTTAGCTGCAAGATATAGTTACTAGTATAGTATATAGAAGTAGTAGAAATAGAGGCTAATTATAAAAGAAAAAGAAATAAAAGAAATAAAATAAGAAATATTATACTAAAATAGTATAAATTAGACTTTAGTTAGAAATAGACTTTAGTATTCAGAAATAAAATTATATTATTAATTTATATATTAGTTTTAATTATAATAAAGACCGGAATAAAGAAAGTATTAGTTTTAATAGAAAAGCTTATTTCTAAGTCTAGAAAAGATATTTAAAAGAGGAAATATTCTTAATTTTAAGTAAAATAGTAAATAGAAATCAGAAATAAAAATTAAAAAGAAATCGGAAATAAGAAATTATATAGATAATCTAGAAAAGCTTCTAGAGAAAGAAAAGAATACTAAGTAGAAAAAAGAAAGAGAATTTAGAAAAGTCAGAAAAATTAGTAAAATTATTTTTATTATTTTTATTATTACTTTTAATAATATTATTAAATATATCTAGTTTAGTAAAATTAAGGGAAAATATTATAGGTATTAAGCTAATAGAATAGAAAAGAGAATATAAGTAATAGAAATAAGACTAGAAAAGCTATTACCTTATTACTATTAATACTAAAACTTGAATCTCGATTATATCTATTATTATTAACTGGTTTCTTTCTAATCCCGGTTCTCAAATTAAAAGATATATTTAAACGAGAAATTAGTCTTTTAAAAACATTATTAGTAGAAGTCTTAGATACGAAAACTCTATAATTAATTATAGAAGAAGTTATTAAGATTAATATAGCCAAGAGTAAATATATATTAATACCGGATTTAAATCTATTATTTATAAGAGCTCCTAAAGTACTATAATTTCAGGAAAGTAATATCTTTATATTCTTAGAATAATATATAAATATATATAAAAACTATTATATTTCTAATAATACTAAAAGAAAAAGAATTATCTATTATATTTCTCTTATTTATAAGAATTAGATTAAGGCTATATTAGAATACTATACTAATAACTCAGGAGATTACTAGGAAACCAAGTTCTTTAAGGCTTTATTAAAGGAATTCTAAGAATATAACTAGGAAATACTTAAAATTAGTTATAATTTTCTTAATTAGATTATTATATAGGCCTAGAATAAAGGAATTTCTTCTAAGTCTTATATTAATATATTTAATAAAATATTAAAAGAATTACTAAAGAAAAAAGAAATAAATAAAATTACTTAATATCGAGAATTTATAAAAAGATTATTTATTCTAGCTAAAGATTATATTCTTAAAAATATAAACTTTAAACCTATAAATATTTCTATTTATAAATATAATAAGATATATAAGAAAATAGTAATATCTTATTAATATAAAAAAAAGAAATACTATTTTAATATTACTAATAACCCAGATATATCTAGATTTAGATAAAAATACTTGAATATAATAGTTTATAATATAGTTCCTAAGCTAGAAAATAATTATTTTTTACTAGTTTCTTCTATTATATTTCCTAAAGCTATTATAAATATAAATAAGAAAAGAATCTAGCTTATAGCTAATTATATAAAACTTACTAAAAGTAGTAAACCCAAGGGAAATAATATTAACTAGCTAGTAAGAAGTCTAGAAAAACTATTTATTATTATTATAACTCAAAAGAATTTATAGAAATAACTTAATATAGCTACTATTATAATTCGAGAGAATATCTATAGCCTATTTATATAATCTAGCTAACTATAATAAATATAATAGTATTAATAGTCTAATAGATATAATTCGGGTTTTTGGAAAAATATATTAGAAGTTATAGTAAAAAATATAGAAAATATTATAATAGCTATAATAATTAAACTAGAATAAATAAAGGATCTAAATAATTATATTCTAGAAAAAGTTAGTCTCAAATATAATTAGAAAATACTACTTAAGTTAATATAGCCTATAATATAGACCTAGAACTAAAAGAATAAATTTACTATAGGTATTATAATAGAAATAAGAATAATAATATTAATTCAGAATATATTTATATTTTTAAGTTCTATTATTTACTAATAAAAGAACTTATAAATATATTTACTAATATAATAAAAAATAATATAAAAGGCTATTTAAGCCTAGATAAGAAAGCATTTCCTTTTTCCTTACTAGTAAATACTAGTAATTTAACTAAATTATTTCTTAAATCTAATAAGAAGAATTTGACTATAATTTAAATATTTAACCCAAAGATATTCGGAAATTAATAGGAGATATCTAGTTTACTAGGCAAGAAAGAGAAAAGGAAACTAGCTAATTGAGATCTATATATAGAAATAAATAAGTTATATTAAGAGAATCTAAATAGCTATTTTACCTTAGAGGAAATTATATTAGAATTACTAATACTTCAGGTTCTGAAATTAATAAATAGTAATAAGACTTAGTTATAAATAGTATTTCTATTAATACTATAATAAGTTTCTTATTAAGGAAAAAGGAAAAAGAAATAGAAATAACTAAAGAGGTTTTCTAAAAATAAGCCAAAATAGAAAAAAAGCTATTTTATATAAGAGACTAGAAAAGTATTATTTTAAGAAATAATAAATAAGGAAATGGCCTAGCTAAGGATATAAATATTAATATTTCCGGAAATAAATAAAACAAATTAGAAACCTAATATACTTTTAATTATAATAAGTATAGGATTCCTAAAATTAATAATATTCTAATAAAATTACTAAAAAAGTAACTATTCTATTTTTAAAAACTTAAAAGAAAATAAGAATACTTATTAATACCTCAAAAATGCCAGATCTAGCTATTATATTTTAGAACTAATAAATTAAGAATAATATTTCTTATTTTATTATTTTATAAATAGAATATTTAAGAAATTAGAAATACTAGCTTAGGTATCTAATACTAATAGAATTATTTAATTTAAAGGTAATAATATTAATATCCGGATATTACTAGCTTATAAATATATTATATAATTTCTATATGTCTAATTCGTATTTCGAGAACTTTAAAGAAGTATTAAATATAAAGAAATAATTAATACTAGAGCTAAAATTAATATTCTTTCTAAAAAGATTTTTAGAAATATTAGTAAAATAATATATAATACTATAGATTATTAAATATCTATTATTATTAAGGCTAAATTTGAATTTATAGAAATAATAAAGTTTAGAGCTAAGGTTATAAATAAATAAAAATATAAAAAAAATATTCTTTTTAGTTAAAGAAGTTTCAAAAATCCTATTTAATTAATTATTTTTAGTAA